TAGCGATGAAATTTGACAGAAACTAGTTTTATAGGAAACACAAACTTTCTACCAAATTTCACAGCTACAGTAAATAATTATTTCCCTAATAATGTCATCTTTAGATAATTTCCCATAGAAAACTAAGTTCTTTTTTAGAATTTGACGGCACTACATGCTAAAAGGGATAATATCCTTCGAAAACACTTTTTCCATTTTTCATCAAAATATATGTACGTCAACATAAAGTGTGTAGTGAGCTCATATTCATAAAAAGTCCAGAGGTTTCGTTTTGTGCGTGAAAGGGATAAAGGCCTCCTTTTGCAAAATGCTTTAACGATCATACAGTCCTAGCAACGAAATTCAGCAAAAATATGTTTTACATAAATCGAAATCTCTACATACACCAACCACTCCCCCTAATAATGTCATCTTTAGATAATGACTTTAACGACCACTACTGACTCAAAAAATACCATAAAATTTATAAAACTCGTCATAAATATGTTTTATACTACTCAGAATCTCCCTACCAATTTTTATTATTTTTCTGGCTTGAAAATATCGGTATAGCTATGAAATTCACCATAAATAAGTTTTATTGTAAACAAAATCTACCTAATGTATTTTAGCATGACAGTTCTGTTTACAATTGTCATTTTTTTTATCGAAAAATTTGTTTTTGTTTTTTTTTTCAGAAATTTAGGTTAATGAACTTTGATAACAATGCATTTTGTAAAGTGTTTATAAAAATGGAAGATATTTTAAAAAAGAAAAAACATTGAAAAGAAATATTATATTAAAAACCAGTAAGAGTAGTTATTATACTCGGCTATGCCGATTCTAAGGGATTTTCTAAAGTTTGCTATTATCTGAAAACAATTCTCACATTCCAGTATAAATTTTATCTAATATCATTATTAATTTATAAGTTAATTACGATTTAGTGAATTTCGAAAGTGGAAAAAAATCGAGTATGTGAATTTTTTAAAAGGGTTTGATATTATTCATATAATATTCTAAAAACTTAGCTTTAGTTCCTATAACTAATATGCACAAATTTTTCTGTTATAATAAAACAACCTGACAATAACAAATAAAATTTAATAATAATAATACAAATAAATAAATAAACAACATTAATGTTTGTTTATTATTGATAAAAACTCCCCTTTTTGGTGATACTTTACATTAACAAAAAAAACAGAACGACATATTATTATAAATACAGGAAACTTATACATAGTATGTAGTAGATATGTTTATTTGTACATTTAATATAAGTACGTATTTAGATATGAAATACAAATGAATTTGTATGTGAACACATAAAGCCCTGGGTGACACATACCCAAATGAGTAATGCATTTTGGTTTTATTTAGAAGCACTTTATAATTTTTTGTTTATGAGAAAATTAGGTTTGTCATTCAAATAAAATAATAAATAGGATTTAATTTTTGTGGAACTGTTAAAAGGAGTGTTTCAAAAAAATAACAAATATACCATTTCAATATAATGTTTTTTTTATCGTCTATTTGCTAAAATTGAAACAAAATGTGTTTATCACATAAGAAACATTTGCCAAGCCTATATAATTTGTGTATTTGACTCATATTTACTTTTTCAATAACAAAAAAAAAATAACATTATGTTTTAATATTGCATTTAAAATGTTTTTTTAGATTTTGAATATTAATGATAAATTAAAATATTATTTAAACTCCAATTATGTTCTTTTAAATTATGTATTACAAATAATTAATTTATTAGTGCGTTTTGCCTTTGGATTTACTGAGACATTATAAGACTTGCATATACATATTTCTCCCGATAAATTGTAAAATAAAGACTTTTTAAGTATGAGCGATTCATTTTTTGAACAATTTTCAATTAGAAATTATATTTTATAAATAATAAAGTCGTTTGGAGTTCTAAAAAAGTTATTTTTAGAACTCTTAACGAAATACCCTTCATATACAGTATGGCTCCAATGCACCAATAAATTTGTAATCCTATAATTTTTGAATTGGGTTTAAAAATAAATTCATAATTATTTTTAGAATCAAGGTTTCGAACACTAGTAACAGATAATGATTTACCGGTCACATTTTCGAAGAAGTTTAGTCAGAAGTTACTGACGAAAATCCGCGTCAAACAATCGTGCAGCACTAGAACAGAGAACAGGCGCAAAAAGTGTTTCTCTTCGTTGCTATTTTTGCATTTTTAGAGAGACTTGGAAACTTAAACTTTCTAGAAAATAGTACAAGTTCAGTTTAGTACGATAAATAACATATTTCATATAATCTAGGCTCATAAGCATTCATTGTTTTTAAAAATTAAAACAATAATCAATACTTTTCAAGTTGTTCAATAGGAACGATGACAGAAGCTAGTTCAGAAATATTACGTTCTTAGAAATAGGACTTTAGTATGTAAGACCATTTAATCAAAAGTTATTTAAATCAAATCTTTAAATTTAATATTACCCAACCCACGTTATCTTTTAGAAAATCATGTCTTCATCTCTGTCACCAATAATAAAATAACACCAACAGAAATCTTTAATTATAGACAAAAATAAATCATACTAAAAATGGAAACACAACTAAATACATCTGGTTTTATAACAAAGACAATAAAGCACAAAGAAAATAATCAAATTTCGACTGATCACAAATAAGACCAAAAATAACAACAATTATTTATTTGACAATTCGAAAAATACCAAATCATACATCAAAGCAAAAACTATGTACATACATACATATAAAAGAAAATGAAATGCTAATAACAACATTTGACTAACTCAGTGGTGCTGCAGCAATGACCCCATACTATGAATATATAAATAAAGAAAACAATAAAATAAAGTTTTGGCTTTAATTTTTTCTAACAAACATATTTGATATAAATAAAGCAAGCTATTGTTATAGGAAAACCAGACTCAATTTAAATCAGGATGAGGGAGTTTAGGGTGTTAATGATGTAACTGACAATACTATAGGAAGACAGTTAGTAAAGGAAATAGAAAATGACGTGTTTTACATTTTGATTAACAACACGGTAAAAGGATTTTTAGGGTGGATGTAATTGTATACACTTCTAACATTATTTCAGATTATAATATTATTGTTGGTGTAGTAATGCATTTTCAGTTTGATTTTTTTTTTTTTATTCGAAAAACGTGTCTCGCGTACACATGTCTAAGGGGTTTTAAAATGAATAAACCTTATGTTTACTTTATTCAAAAAACATAAACAGAGAAATATAGAGAATAAATATAGAAAAGAAAATTAAAAATACAATAACAAAAACTGTACATAGTACATCTGTTTTGACCTAGACAAAAGGTAACGTTACATGTTGTCACACTAAACAGCCACCACCAACGATCGTTACATTACAGAAACACACTGAATGCTTACAATGCTGACTATGTTAATTTTTTGTTATTTTCTTTTAGTAATAACTCCGGTCTTTACAGTTTTAAAACCTGTGCTATCAAGTTTTCTTTTTTGTTCGTTTTTCGTATTCAATATTTTTCTTATCAGAATTTTTTATGTTTAGCTTTTTAAAATAAATGAGTAAAATGTTTTTTTTTTTGTTCTTTAAGGTGAATTGTTATTTTTTCTTTTAATAGATATAATTAATTATTTTTTTATGTAACAGAACTTTAAAAGTATTCGAAACAAAGACAGCAAGAAGGGCAAAAATAAAATAGGTAGGTATGACTTTCTACAAAAATGGTCAAATCATTTGGTTTGCTAATTTTACAATTATCTCATAGAAAGATTTTATCATTATAGTAATTTTTTGTTCTTAATCTAAAAATCCTATACCAGCATTGGCAATAACTATGCTTCATAAAAGATTATTCTTTTCCAGTTTAAGAGACAATTTTTGTAGATAACTTATTTTAACGTAATTTTTAGTATAGATAAGCAACTGCATATTAAAATGCTATCATTGAAATAATACATTTAAGTGATATGTGGTTAGTTCAAAAAATTTAAAAAGGAATAAACCGCAATTTATAAAAAAAAATAAAAATTTGTTTTTGATATTATGGTATTTTTATTTGTGTTTGTTTAGAAAGCACTTTTATTTAACGGACAAAATTATGAGAAATTAAATCCTTATAAAATTTTGTTTCATTATGATTTTCTGAAAAACCTTCTTTAACCTCGTTATCTCCACCTCCTTTTATAATTTAACCTGTAGATATTCTGCCGGTTAAAATATATTTTGTATGAAAACTGTCAATTTAAACTTACGAGAAAATATAAACAGACTAACATTTTTTTAATAAGGTAAATAGGTATAAAATGTACGAAATTTTGTAAATCAATTCAAAAGTTTTTTAAATAAAATGCTCAAAAATCGGATGCCCTATAAGCGACGGCACGCATTTTTCAGTCACATGAGTTAATGATGGATATGTCCACTTTCCGAATTTTTGGCACTTTATGGAATGCCGATTTTCGACTTTCTACAAATGTTTTTAAAAAAGCTTTTCTCTCACCGGTGAATTTTTGTTTGTTTTTGACTACATTTGGAAACATTTTCAATATTAATGTTAAATATGTAATTCTTCCTGGTTTTTAAATGAAACGAGTTTTTTTAAACTTTATGTAATAAAATACATATTTTTAAATCTTAGATGGAAAATTGTTTTAAAATTTCAATCACAATTAAAAATGGTACACAATTAGAAAATTACAAAAAAATTCTTTTCTTTTTTAAATATTTTGTTTTTCTTTTTCGACTCTCTAAAACACTGTTCTACGTCAATAATATCCCTGAAAACAAATATTCTTTTTTAACATCCCTGTATTAATACAGAGATAAAAATAATCAAGCAGAAAGTACAAAAAAAATCGATAGATAGCATTTATTATCATCCATTCATTGCCACCTCCAAATAAAATTAACAAAAAAATTTTGTACAAGGTTGTATAATTAAAATTGATTTTTTATAATAATACCCGTTTTTTAATACAAAAGTTAAAAGAAAACTTACCCCTATATATTTTCTACTGTTGTTTTCTGTAATGCAAACTATACTATTGTTCAGTTTGTTTTGTTTCTATTTCTCCTTTATCTACACTTCTCCATTCAATTTTTTTATAAACAAAAATGCACTAACGATTTTTTCTTTTCTATTTTTATATTTTATTTGCTTTTTTAAGCTATTACTTTGTTCACTGTACAACGAAAATAACTTTCTTTTTATAAAGGAAAATTTAATTTTCTTATGGACTGGAAATGTTGGAAAATCTTTATGTACAATTTTCTTGATTTTTCTTTTTTAGCATTGAATCAATCACTTGACACACACACTGATACACTCTTGACACAATTGCGCTTAAACGAGGCAGGAGGGCTAGACGCACGTATTTTTAATATCAATATTTAAGATTACACAATTATATTTTTATAAAATATATTTATTGCCGTCACACGAAATAGTATTTTTCACTGTTAATGTTAAATTTTATAAAAATCTTATAGCAAATATACAGAATTTTCTTATAGATTTTTTCCACCACCGTTGTGTTACTTTTTTTGTGCAAGATGCGTGTGTACAAAACGAAGAGAATTTGACAAATGCCAGATAATGTCAAAATTTTCAGTTATAAGATTTTTAATAAACAGAGTTGTTATACAAAACAGTGTTGAAAACGTTTTAAACAATTAACAAGAAGAGCGTGTTTACGCGCCTAATTTGAGTCGCTGCTTTTACTTCAAACAAAAAAGTGTTTGCTTCAAACACGTGATACGAAAAATACATTGCTGTTTGACAAACCGTAAGAGATTGGGACATCGAACATGTGTATTTTAAATGGGAAGTGCTGTTGATGTCACTTCTGCCGACTGCGAAAAAAATTCTGATAGAATTTTTGGCGCCATACTGTTTTCTGTTTATTTGCAAAAAAAATCTGTTGCGAAAATCTAAAAAGACAGAAATAATATTCTTTAAATAAAAAAATAATTTTTTAATAACAATTTAACTTAGAAATTAATAAAATTGTATGCTATACTATGCCAAAGGACATTGTGCAAAGAAACAGGCAAGTATTGGGTTTAATTAAGTTAAATTTTTAATAAATATGATGAAAATGTTTTTCCAGCGAAGTTTGTTTTCGTTTAATACCCAAAAGTGTTTATTGAAATCCACCGGATTTTCCTACTACACCCCAAACACTATGGTGGCCGAATATTTACAAGAAACAATTATTAGAGGATATAACCTGGCTAGGATATCGTCTTATATAGATGTTTGGCCAAAATATTGGTGTTTGTTATTTTATTGCAATGCTTGGATCCGGTACTAACCATTGTGGACTTTATGTCGACTTTAGATCCCTTAGAGTTGTCACACTATATGAATCATTTATAAAAGAAAAAAAAAAACGTTTATCTGAAGGTATTCCATCCGAGCACTTGACGTACTTGCGTCTGTATCATCAAGAATGGCAAAATAACTTTAGAAGAAATGAGGAAATGTGTTTGGATTTGAATGAATATCATTTCATTTCGAATGGGCTGTTGGAACAGGACTGCAATACGCGTACTCAATTGGTTAGTTCTTTGGGATCATCACAATTTTAATAAATAGTAGGCATTATATAAATCTCAAATTGAAATTTTGGTCTGTCATTAAAGCCGCCCTTGTTGATTGGATGTATCCTAATATATGTATTGTATGTATGCATGTGGATTGGATTATAAGGTTAATAATATTAAATCGCCCTGCAGAAGAGAAATGGTTTTCCATAAAAATTCTGTTTTGCTCAAATTTACGTAGTTGGTCAGATGAGCCCCATTTTGTACCGAAAATTTTAAATTTCGCCAATGAGCGTGAGATAAGCCCTTCAATATACAAAATTTTAAAAACAATACCACAGGTATTAAACATTATGCTGGAGGACTATCGGTATTGGTACATTATTCAACTTTAGGAGCGGGAATCATAGTGGAAATAGAGTAAACAATAACAAATGGGCAATTCACGAGCGTATTTAATAAAAATTTTGAATTAAATGCCGTAAAAATGGGTTTGGGAAACTTAAAAACTTAATGCCTCAACAGATTCATGACTTCAAACACACGACAAAGGTTAAAAACATTATTTAAAAAAAAAAAAAACACTGAAAAATTAGAATGACCTGCTCAGAGCATCGCCCTAAATCCAATAGATTAATTTTTGACCATAATTGATCAAAAAATCATGCTGAAATAGCGAACAAAAACGGATTTCTTTTGAAAATAATAGCATGGGGGAAAAAAGGGGAAGGGAAGGAGATTGCAAATAATAATGGTAAAAAAATTACAAAAATGGCTTGAGTAGATCCAGATATTCAAATCAGAACCAAAATAGATAAAAATTTTGATATACATAAAATTATAATAATGATAGGTATATAAAATTTACACTTTACTTTGTCCGACAAAGAAGTGAATTTACTTTAATTTTAAATATTATACAGAAAAATTTTAGGTGGAATAAATTTGTTTTATTGTTAAAAAAAAATTACATATTCAATAATCATTTAACAGATTTTTCGATTAAATGATGTAGCATGAGCACTTTTGCACTTAATTTTGTCCGATAGGATATGTTTAGTTTATAAAACCGAAAAATATTTAATCGCATATAGATGTGATGTCGTTTGTAAAGTATGACATCAATTATTTTTTTGCTGGGATGTTTTACATACATATGTATTTGTTGCCAAACCCCCACTTTTTATCTCTCGGATTCCGTTTTTATTTAAAATCGTTGAAATTTGAAAATTAAACGTTTTTGAGAACTTAGAAGACGGCTTATAGTCGATTTTAAGACGCCGCCGATATTTTTAGTGTCAGCCGCCGCCGTCGTTAATATTTGTCGACACAGGGCTCTGCAGATGCATTGCATTTTTTCAGAAGAAAAAGAAACAAAGAAAAATAGAATTTATTTAGAGGTGTAAAATAACTAAATACTTCCAACAAAATGCATTCAATTTACGCAGGACTACACTTACCCAATAAACCAGAAGAATTTTTAACAATAAGCGAAATAGATTTTGACAAAAGTGTATTGGACCTGAAGCAAAAAATTGGGGAAAAATGTCAATTTGAAGTGGATAGATTGGAAGTCATCTACAATGGTATTGCACTACAAGATGAGAAAAAAATAGGTGATACTCTTAAGCCGGAAGCTGTTATTCATTGCTTCCAGAAGACAAAGAAATACACGCCATACGAACCGTCAGAAAAAGTAAAAGATCCTGAAGCGGTGAACAATGCTCAAGTTTTGTTCTATAATATTGGCAATATACAGATTAATGTTAGCTGTCGTGTGAATATATTGCAGAAAATACTAGCTGAATATCCAGAATTTCGTAGAAATCCTGCTGCTCTAGCTCTCATAAGGGACTCTGTTCTATTCAATACTCTTCACCAACCTGAAGTAATTAAAAAAGTTGCTGAACATTATCCGATTATTTTGGAGGCGGCATCATTTATAGTAAGCACTGTGCGCAAAGAATTAGCTAGAAATATATCAGCATCCAAATTTTCTGAACCAGCAACCGATTCCACCAACTCTTCAGAAGAAGAAAACTCAGTGGGCAGTAATGATCGCAGCAGCAGTCGTGATGAAGATTCTGGTCGTAGTCAGTCGGAAACAGCTCGTATACGCATGATAAGCCGTCAGCAATTGCAAGCTGCATTGGCACAAATAGGCTACGGCTCAGCAAATTCATTGTCCAATATAGCGCAAAGGAATTCCGAGACAACTGCTGCTTCGGGACCTTCTGAAGCCAGCTCTACTCCACTGTCAAACTCTGCCAGCGGTGAAAGGATATCAACGGATTTATTTCGTAATGAATTATTGAGAGCTCTTGGGTCTTTGGGACAACGTGTTAGCACATCATCGAGTCAATCTCAAGATCCTGTAGCTATGGACACATCCGAACAGGAACACCAATCAGCAAACACTTCCTATACCGATGATGGTGATATTCCAGTAGTTTATCGATCCCATCCTTATGCCGAACAATTAAGAACAATGTTGCAAATGGGTTTTTTAAATCATGAAGAAAATCTTAATTATTTAAATTTAGCAAGCGGTAATATTGAACAGGCTGTTAATCTCTTAATGGCAGCTATGATGTAACCTTTTTATCGTACTCGAACTGTCCATATTTAAATACAGAATAATTTTTATACAAGCAAGTTTTTCGAAGGAATAAAATCCATAAGATTTAATAAAATAAATATGTATATGTAAAATAAATTGAGTTTTAATTAAAATGGAGGTCCATAAGAAATAATGACAAAATGTGTATACATTTAGTTCATATAACTGTTTAATACTGTAACTTCCGATGCACTATTTCTTTCTCATAGCCCAATGAAATTTCTTCCCGAATTTTTGGTAAAATTATAATAAAGCTTTCTTTAAGCAGTAATCATGGTAATATGTACATATATTAAAACAAGTAAGAAAGTATAGTCGGGCGTGGCCGACCATATGATACCCTACACCAGTTATGAATATTAAATGTGATTTATTTTTCATAATAAAGCATTTATCTTCAATATTCCCTTGTTCCGATACATTTAAGCAATTTATGGATGAAAAACTAATTTTCTGAAAGAGGCTTTATATGGGGGCTAGGGGCAAATATGGACCAAGCCCGATAAAATTTTGTGAATATATTTATATTTACATAATATTATATTGTGCTGAATTTCATCGCGATATTTGTGTTTATAAGTTAATTTGGGACATTCAAGTAATTTTCTGAAGGGGACTTTGGATGGGAGCTAGGGTCAAATGGGGCCCGATCTTTATGAAATTTGGCAGGGTCATCAAGACTTCTATAAAACTTAGTTATGCCGTATTTTATCGATATATCTGTATATTTAACATAATTATGAGCTCAGAAGCCCTTTTCGGGGGGTTCTGTTCTATGGGGGCTAGGTGAAATAATGGACCGATTTCGTGCTTGGGTTAAATAAAACGTGCGTGCCAAATTTCATCCAATTATCTTGAAAATTGCGACCTGTACCTTGCGCACAATGTTTACATGGACAGCCAGCCAGACGGACGGACGGACATAGATTAATCGACTCAGAAAACTATTCTAAGCCGATTGGTATACTTTAAGGTGGGTCTAGGACGAATATTTTTGTATGTTACAAACATCAGCACAAATCCAATATACCGTCCCCACTAAAGTGGTGTAGGGTATAAAAAGGTGATAATGAATTCGACTACTTCAATTAATCCCCTTGTTAGACATTTGTCCTTATTACTTTGACTATTTTTAAGCTATAATTTCTAGAACCATAATAAAACTCAAACATTATATTTTGGAGTAAATGGTTAATATTTATTAAATAGTTTTCAAAATACTATTTTATGTTTGGTTTATGTAAATAATACAAATACATAATTTATGTAAAAAGTTAATATAATATAAATAGTTTTAAAGCACAAAATAGAATTGCTCTGCAAAAATTTAAACATAAAAGATTTGAAACATATCTTTTTCATATTATATTCGTAAAAAGAACGGAAATAATTTGGTAAACTGTCGTAGTTTTTTTTTTTTTTGTTAATTGATATTTTTATCGTTATGGGAATAATTTAAGACACATTCACTGCCAATTATTTAGATATGGGAAACGCACAAAAAATATTCAAGTTTAAACGAAAAAAGTATACAATAACTCACAATCAGATGAAGTCTTTAACACAAGTTGAGCAAAGTACAAATATGAATTCATTCAAATAATAATTGCTATTAATATCAAATGAAAAATAGTCTACCACTTATGTAAGTTCCCTGATATGCGTGAGTGAGGTTCAAAGTTCTGATTTTTAGAGAGAGACAGCAAAAAACAAGGCATCAAATATGAGGTTTGCCTTTAATTTTGATTGAAATCATACGAAATATTTCAATTGTGGTGTAATTCAATGAAAGACATCCATAAAGGGAAAATAAGCTTGATCAGGTTCAAGCAAATCTATTAAGTAACATACAGTACCGGCAACACCCTCATAAAGACTATGAGGACGATCGGGGGTCCGAGCCCGTAGTTTAAATTCAGAATTGCTTAATAGTTCCATATATTTAATAGCTCTATACATATAAACAGGTTCGTGGGTGAGACGATAGAGTAATAGGAAAACGTATCCGTTGCCGGCAACGCCATGACAAATACCTGGTCCCTTACGTAAAAATCCCTTATGCCATACCAAATCGGCTGCCTTTTTTAAAGCTTGCATATATTTGTCTTCTTTAAATATTAAATATGCTTTTGCTAGCAGATAAACTGCGCCGGGTGCGCCATGACACCAGTGTACTAAACGCTTCTCCCGGCCACTTTTAAGATCTTCCAAAGCTACTGGAAAATTACCCTCCTCATCTTGTAGCATCAAATAGAAATCAATTGATCTCTTTATATCCCTTATTTCCGCACTGGGAGCTGATATAGGATCCGTTTGAAACCAGGGACTATCTAACAACATGTGTAAAATGGCACACAAACCATGAGCTGCACCCAAATACTCGGTGCCATGGTATTGATACATCAAAGGCAAAGGTGCTCTAGTTTGTTTAGCATATTCCCGTCCACTAGCTAGGACCATTTGGCAAATAGATAAAACATCATCATCGGTGATTTTTTTCTCCGTTAAAACATCATTCAACCAATAGCAACCTGATAGATAACCAGCTCTTCCCACTAGCACTTCATCGCAACCGTATTTGGTGTGCATAAACTCTTTACTGGGCGCTATGCCGCTTTTAAAATTCATTAAATCGTCCGATAAATCTTGTGTTAATTTTAAATCATGAGAAATTGCTGCAGATACAGCATAAATACCAGCATTTCCACATAAAAATGAGTAACGTTCGGACGAGCGTTTTTTATAGCGGTCAGCATTGGCTTTGGCATTTCTTATAAAAGCATGAGCATGTTCCAAAGCTGGGTATAGGTCATGACACTGTGCTGATCTGGCCATTTTCCAAAACATAAAGGCAATGCCAGCATTTCCAACATATAAATCGCCTCTATGATCTTCGTCATCACAGCCGGGTCGACAATGTTCAAGTATGGCATCAACATAAGTACAAATTAGATTCTTTACATGCTCATCATCATACTCTAAGGGAGTGGTTTGTTTGTTGACATAATCGGGAAAGGGATTCTCCAAATAACGCTTTTCCATTTCTAATGCTTGAGCAGATGAATCTGCAAAACAAACAAATATTAACAAATTAAATTTTCCATAAAAAAGATTTGTGTCTGTCTATTTGTTAAACAATCGATTTTTTGCAATGTCCTGTCTAGCAATAAAGTCAGGGTGCGGTCAATTTATTCAACTTTTAAGGACTTTACATACCTCGTCTTTTGTTTATCTCCTTCGTTATGTCCTTTTGTTGGCAATATGTTCGATATATATACTGAAATAAAACAATATATTGTTTATTTTTATTAATATTAGGATTGCAAAATTTCCTCCACAGATCAGATACCTATGCCGACAAAAATTGACACTAAAAATTTCTGCGGCGTATTAAAATCGTCTGTAGGTCGGCTAAGTTTGTGCCGCTTCACATAGTCAAATTTACAATTTGTGGGAAAGAGACGTACACAGCAATATCTTTATACTCTCTTATGTAATATCAAAAAGTTGCGCGATAAATGTTGTTGGGTAAAATGGCACTTTTCAGATTTTTTTCTAAAATTTTCAACAATGAAGGGCTTTTAACTATTTTATTCAAAAATAACATATTCATTTTGAAAGTTTTTTTGTTCTTTTAATTTAAAGTATAACTGCTGTCAAAGAGTCGGACTACTTGTTATACTTTGGTAGAGGAATTTTGTAAATATTGATTGTACCATGATATAAGTATGATATTTTTACCATGGATTTTACTATGCACTAAGAAAGGAGATGAACAGACCTATTAAAAGCGGGATTTTGGAAGGAAATATACCTATGGGAGCTGTGACCAATTATGGTCCGTCCTGAAAAAAATCGCAGAATGATTTGATATACATTTGTACAAGATATATTAGAGTCCAAGTTAACCTTATATTCGAACTATCAATTATAGATTGATAGTTCGAATATTCGGGAATATTTAAATAATTAATCTATGGATGATTAGGGTATATCAGAATTAGGTCTTACGATGTTTTAAAACCTTTCGTTTACATGAATTTTTTATAGTTTAATCTACATGTTTGGGTACTAAATTTGGATAAACTGCCGACATTATCCTTGCTTTTTCTTCGGGTAAATGTCGTCGGTCAAATAATAATAGGATTTATTTTGGATAATAGGATTTACACTGGATTTATTTTGGATTTATTTTATTTCAAGAAAAAAACTATCTTTGGAGTCTGAAATTTAGTTTTGGTCATCATTATCTGAAAATACACTGTATATGCTAATAGAAGGTCAAAGAAAAATTTATTTTAATGCAAAAATGCCGGTTCTGCAGATAAAAGAAGTAAATCCAAATTGGATTTATTAAATCCAAAAAAAAAAAAATAGTTGGATTTAGCTAATTTCAATATGGCAGTGTTTTGTATTCATAGAACAAAACCAAAATAATTTTAAAATAAATTAATTTGTTTTATTTTGCTATTCACCAATAGATGGCAAATATTTTTTTTAAATGAGTAAAAATAGGAAAATAAACAAAATTCATGTAACTAAAATATTTCACACATGATATTTCAGTGCAAATACCAATTTTTGCAACAAATTGTTACAAATTTTATGGAAAATTTATAATTTTTTTAATATTAAATTTTGAAATAACTCCATTTGTTGGCCGCTGCTGACATTATGATTTGAAATTTGTTTAGCCTCGATTAAAACCTTTTGCCTGGCGTACAGTGGGAGAATTAAAATTTGGATTTAATAAATCCAATTGTTTAAAAAATGCTGCTAATATAAACACTTGATTATATCAAAAACTTCCGATTTTGTATCGAAAAATTTATACATACTATGGTCGAATTTGAAATTTTCTGTAATTGTTTAAAAGTTATTACCCTAATATTCTTGGGTTTTTTCGGAATTTTGCTCATATCTCCGTTATTTGTTGACCGATTTTGCTGATTTTTAATAGGAAACTTTTCGAAAGCATGTCTGATCGGAAAATTGATTACAACAAACATTGAGACAGATAGGATTGGAAAATTATATCGTAGGAACTACAAACTTTTAAATATGGGCAATTTCGTGTCAAGTGACCAAACTTTTAAAATCGATGTCTTCCGATTTGAATGAAATTTGCACCAAGGATAATAGGCCAAACATACGAAGGAGGGAGTGCATCGCTAAATCGACTAGAAAAAATTAAAATGTTTGTCAGCACGCCAACAAAAATCAAAAGGCCTTGAAGGAAACTTAATTTCGGAGATAACTCATAAACTATGTACAACATATACATACATACATTCATGGACTCTCGATTATGCAATATGCTATAATATTAATGAAAATCCCAAATTAGAGTGCTATAGTGATGCAAATTTTGGAGGATGTATGAAAGGAGCAGTATCATGGCTAAGTCAAAGACAAACAATTGTTGCTACGTCTACAACAGAAGCTGATGTAGTTTCAGCAACTGAAGCAACAAAAAAATAATTTGGTTAAGTCGTTTGTTTGCTGAAACTATTGGATATAATCAAATTTCAATTTTGCAAGTTGACAATTCAGCCGCTGTTAGATTAGCACAAAATCCCGAATACCATTGAAGAACTAAACACATTGAAGAACTAAACAAATTGCTACTCAAGAACTACTTGCAGATATGATGACGAAACCATTGCAACCCCAACGACTTAAGTATCTCCAACAAAAATTGGGACTTCAAAAATTTTAAAAATCACACAACAAAGGGAAGTGTTGAAGTTATTTGTGTTATGTTTACTAACATTGTTTTTATATATTGTACTTTTGTATTCAATCTAGCAGAATTGAATAATATTGTTTGTTTGTCTAATATTTTTTTACTTGAATAAAAACTTTAACTACAAAAATTTTAATACAGACAATGTTTACACTGGCGAGCAAAGTTAATACTTTGTGCAGTGTATATAATCTAACGCACTACCAAATGTTGAAATATGTATTGAAATAATTGAAGAAAAAAACAATATTGCAATATTTCAAATACAAAACAATGGGGACATCGTTAAATCAATTCAGAAATTAAAATTTGCATTGATTAAACCATAACAAATATTTAACGTTATTTCAAGCGAATTTTAAATTTATTCAACTCACTAGTTTAAATTTTTAAATAAATACTAAATACTACAGCTAATAATTTTTATTTAAATCATATATAATCGAAAAAAGAAATCACATATAGTTCAGTATTCAAGTATAAATATTTTATTTGCGACGGTTGCCACCTGATCCAGACAAAATCATAGCAATTCGAATGAAAATATTTAGAACGTCCATGTAAATTGAAAGGCTCCTGTGAAATAAAATATAATGTAAATGATCTGCTGTTCAAATATAATACTTTATTTGCACTTACGCATTAATAGGATCGAAAGGAGCCATTGCATATTGGGGATAAACTTCAGCTTTGCGTACAATACGTTGTGTATCGTAAAGCAAAAATCCACTGAAAAGTACTAAACCACCATAAAGAGATAAGGAAGCCAAACCTAAAAGAATATAGCAAAAATGAAATTATTTTCAAAATAAACATATGTTCTGTAAATTACCAGCTCCCAATGCTGTTGTAGGTGGTAGCCACATGCCAGCCAACGAAGAGGCCATTACCAAGCCCAAACCAATTGCTAAAGGACCACCCATGTACAAAAATTTATCACTTGGAGCACAAACAGCAATAGTTGATAGACCACCAACTACGCCACCAGTATAAAGAGCAGCGCGAGTCAACAGCGGACCACCGAGGAAACATAATGGTGCAATAACACCACCCAAAACTGCGCAATGTAAAGCCCAAGATAATTGCTTAGCACCAATACCCTCTTTATAGGGAATAGATTGGGTCATGGCACCGGTGCCAATGACTAAGGCAAAAGTTGCCAAAGTGGACTATGTATGATGGAAACAAATAAAATGCCATAACATTTAACACATACATGTATGTATATTTTTTAGGTTATTTCGACTTACCAGCCAGCCATTGCGAGTGGTTAATTCCAATAAACGTGGGGAACGGAAAACAGCGGCTGCTGTCAAAGCTGTTAGAACGCAAGAAGCTCCAAAGTATCCATAGGTTGTGTGTAAACGTTCTCTAACATATTGGGGCCACAAACTGATAGTATGTAGATAGTATAATAATTACATTAAAATCCACCGTGTTTTTGAATCCTTTTTTTAAACTTGAAAAAGAAAAAAACATTTACTTACAGTGAATTATTCTGTATGCTGGCATCTTTGCTGAGGCCTAAACCATAATAGCACAATGCCCCTAAACCAATACCAGCTGCTCCAGCTGCAGCACCTTTTCCCATGGAGTATGCTAAAGTTATAAACAAATGTTAATGCAAATATTGGTCTTTTAAATTCAACTGATTGAATTTTTACCATTTTCCGATGGTGGAGCCATTAATTTTTCCTTTAAAGTTGGCCCACGTCTTACTTCACTGCGTGAGGTTAGTGGTGGCTCCCTGGGACCACGAGCATATTGACGAACCAACAAATTATTATTGCTGGGCTTTATCAATCGTGGAGCAAGCAATGTTTGTTTTATGGATGCGGAAAATGTGGTCGATCCACTGGCTAAACGGCCCGGTACTTGAGATGCAAGTCTTAGTAACATTTTTTGATTATTGTGAAATTCTTTCTACGAAAAAAAAATAGAAAAATATTTACATCAAATTTGTGAAATAATTTCTTTGCTTTACACTGTTAATTATTTTTTTATTTTAATTTTGTTGTTTAATATTTATTGCTTACTATATCTTATAAACTTCTTTTTTGTAATTTTTCGTTAAATTTTGTAATTTAGAAATTTCTCGTTCAGATGAGTTGAAAGTCTTTCGAACAATAACCAGAGCCCTGCGCCGACAAATATTAACGGCGACTGACACTAAATATGTCGGCGGCGGCTTAAAATCGACTGTAAGCCGGCTAAGTTTTCAACTACGTTTAGTTTTTAATTTTTCAACGATTTTAAATAAAAACGGAATCCGAGAGATCAGAAAGTAGGATTTTGGAAGCAAATATATTGTTTATAACAACAAAACAGAGCAAACTCAAAAGTTGTATGAGAAATTATGCAGGGATGAACAAAAAATTCTTAAAAATTAAAAACAAATCCTTTCTCCAAGTTTTACTAGGATCAGCCGATATTTAACCCTATCTTCCATATAAAACATCTTGCAGAAAATCAGTTTCTAAAAAATTTTGCATTAAGAAAATGATCAATAACGTAAAAACAAAGATATTTTATTTGTTTATCTACTAGCTATACCCAGTGTGCTGTGCTACCCTAAAAGCAATATAAATAAGAAACCTACTTAACAATTTTGATGATTCTAACTACAATAGTTTTCCAGATATACAATTTGTTACATATGGGAGATTCCACGTTTAATTTAATTTATAAAAAATTTGAATAATCTAATAGTTTCCAGATATACAAAATTTTGTATTTAATTCATATGGGAAGTGCCAAGCCCCCCATTGAAAGTTCGCCCGTTATTCTCTAAATGTTCTTCAGTAAAATTTGATGATTCTAGCTCTAATAGTTTCTCAGATATACGAATTTTTCTATTTAATTCATATGGGAGCTCCAAGCCCCCCAGATGAAAGTCCGCCCTTTTTTCTCCAAAATGTTCAGATGAATATTAAAGTTGTTCGTGCAAAATTTGAAGAATTTAGTTATATTATTTTCCCAGATAAACGAATTTTTGTATTTAATTCATATGGGAGGTTCCGCTCCCCTCATTGGTAGTCCCCCAATTTATTACCCAAAATGTTTACATGGAAGTTAACTTCCTTTGTTATGTGAAATTAAAAAAAATGATTTTTAAGTGGACACCGACTTGTCCACTATAAATGAAACACGTTAATTTTTGGTTTACAATTTTATTCAACGACCGCTTTGGTCAACCTCCCAAGTAAGACTAACTCTAACAATATTTTTTAAATGCTTAAATCTAAATAATTCTGCTGATCCAACTTATTCCATTCCCACGTTGTGAAATCTTCCAGACGAAATATGATCCTGCATACTAGCTCGCGCGTGTGCACCGTCAGCACAACCTTGTGTAGATTTTTCCCGCTCATGTATACTTGATTGTGTTAACTCCTCCCTTGCCAAAAATCTGCGTCCCGCAGATTGGGGTTTGCATGCCACGTTGCTTGTGCTCTGCAGCGGAGGGAGACGCACTTGAGAGTATAAAGCTTTCCAGCATAGGTAGCCTAGGAATGATAGGAGCAAAAAAATAGTGCAATCCGCTACTATAGAGTAGTGGTATTTTATGTCTAGATTTTCTAAATTTTTTATGTTTTGTAAACTCATATTGTGAAGATATCCTATGTCAACCTGCCGCCTTTCTTCTAGGATGGTTGTGACGATCTGGGGTAGGATTTGTATAGATGTCTCGCTTCGGCTGGTGTACGTAACGTTTTTTATTTTCACTTCTTCGTTGTTAAGTCGCACTGCGTAGGTTCCCGAAAGGAATTTAGTAATGTTACCACTCTGGAGATTACCTCTAAAATTGGTAATGAATATGGTGTCTTCCATAACAAGTTCGACAACCTCTTCTTCACAGGATCTGTAGGAACATTTTGCTTCACCTCCTTTGATGAGAATTGAAACACAATCATCTTCAGGGAGTTTTCTCAAGCTCGTTTCCTCACACACGGTATTGTTGTTGATTCGCATGCATGGTTTGGTGATGCCATATGTCTCTTTCTCATTAACCAGCAACGTGTTAAACGGTAAGTCTGTAACCTTTCCTTCCTGAATGGATGGTTTGACAATAAGGTAGTTGTACTCAACTTCTCTTACCTTGGGCAGTGAAAGGACATAGAGAATCATTGAACCGTTTGTGCATACCCTTGGATCGGCGTACTCGATGGCCTCCAATTCATTAGAATAAGGGAGTGTTGCAATTTCGTCAATTATGCGGTGAATTTCTTCTCTGTCGAGTACATTAGAGTTGACTATGCCACCTTTGGCCATTTGCGCGGCTCTCATAACCTCGTTTACCTCTTCTTTGATGACCATTATTTGGCGTAGGATTTGATTAATTAATTTTTCGACGTTCGTTGCATTGACCTCGTTGTGAAATCGCGCCACCATTGCATTAACCTTAGATATTGTTTCCTGTGACGCTTTAAAGAGTCGATCGTTGATCACGTATTGGTGATTATTATTTTCAATGATGCTTTGTTCAGACCTCAACACATTATCCCAATCTGCTGCATCCGGATTGCCAGCCAACCACTTCCAAGCTGAACCGATCCAATTGATAGAGCGTTTCTGCTTCTTGTATTTACCCCTAAGCGTATCTAATTGGGAAAAAATTGTATTAACATGGAAATCAATTACCATCCGTTCTTTCTCATCCACAGCAATTTTTTCCAGCATTGCCACGGTTTGGCCTAATAGGCGCTCGTATTCCTCTAAGTTGATAACATGAACCAGGTTAAACCTTCCATCAACCAGCCAACCCTTGCCGTATTTGAATGTAACCAACTGCGAGTGGTATTCGAAGATTTGTAGACTGTTCACGGTCGTGAACCACGTGAGACTGGAATGATAAATGTCGTTTTGTCTAGCTCTACGATTAGTTTGTTAGAGTGTTAGTATGATTGTATTGTTAAAGTGTTAGTACGATTAGTACAATTAAATTTCTACTTCACATTTAATTAAATTCCTACTTCACATTTTCACTTATATAATATTTTAACGTTAATAGATTCTTATTCTATGTTAGTTTTCCCTTTATCTTAATTAATTTCATCTTTCATTTCCGTTTCCATCTCATAAATTTTATTATATTCATCTTTAAGGCTGAAGGCCACATTCTCGTTAGTAGATTCTTATTCTAAGTTAGTTTTCTCTTTATCTTAACTAATTTTATCTTTCATTTCCGTTTTCATTTTATAAATTTTATCGTATTCATCTCTAAGGCTGAAGGCCACATTCCCTCTTTTTTCTTTTTTTGAACTAGGTGTGATTATCCGCCATATGCAAGAAGTGCAAATGATAATCTCTTAAGCCATGGACTTCCTTTGCATTATGCAATTGGCATTGATCACCCTTGCTCTAAAGTAAATTTTCACCATTGCAATGATCTTCATTCAAGTTATTTTAATTACTTTCAATATACTTTCGCTTAAGCTTCCATAAAAAAATATCTCATCTCGTATTCATCTTTTGCCCCAATTGAAGGCTTCAATTCAGTTCAAGGTTTTCTCAGTAGTACGATTTCCTTATTCTTATGGCACCCATGGGGAATTGAACCCCTCCGCAAATATGCAGTTTCCACTATAGGTTTTGGGACCATTTACTTATATTTTTTGTGTGGACCGTAGATTCCGAGTTATCCCTTTTAGCATCAAGCGTTAATGGTTTAATTGCAAGAAACTTACTCGTGGTACGGAGATCTACCACGACTTATGACAGTGAGGACATCACTATCACAAATCGTTGTCCCAAAAAAAAAGAAAATCGCATTAAGAGATACCATTAAGTTCAAAAAATGGGTATTGTACCCAATTTCCCATTTCCTCCACTTCTCCTTAAAAAAAGGTAGAAGTTTTATCTCCATTTCTCTCCTTTCATCATTCACATGTCTATGGGGATTTGAACCCCTGCGTAAATACGCATACCGCTAAAATTTAAGGACCCCATAGGTATCCTTTAAGATTTAATGTGGGTCTTGTGAATCCTTTTTCCAGTGCTCGTTTGCACTGTGACCCGATTGTTTCTATCAACAACCGCTTTCTCATAAAGCGGTCGATGCTTTGCCCTGATCTGCTTATTCCTAACATGAACGGTATCACCCGCCTTATAATCCTTCGATAAGACACGACGCCTAGAATTATGTCTCTCCAAGGTTGCCTCTTGCTTTTTCTTTATCGATTTTTTCACCTCCCTGTTCAACTTTCGCCTAAAGTTCTGCAACCTTTGGTAATTAATTCTCTCAGCTCTATTAAAAAAAATATCAACCGGTTTCCTATTCGTTACAGAGTGGATGGTGTTATTGTATCGATCGGTAGCGAGCATTATAAGTTCCCTAATACCTAAATCCCTATGTTCGACCTTTAAACATCGATAAATTTCCAGTAAGGTCGAATGGAATCGTTCCACTTGTCCGTTCACCTCACTACGACCTACTGGAGTCAAATATACCTTGACACCAAATTGTCGAATCACGTTCATCACTATTGGGCTGATAAAACCTCGCTCATTGTCAGTCACTAAAATGCGTGGTGTCGAGAAGTAATTAAGGATTTCTATAATTCTCTCCCTCATTTGCAAGGCTGAACGATTCCTAAGAGGAAAAAGTTTCCCAAATTTTGAAAATTTATCCAATACACTAATAAAATACTCATTTTGGAGTACAAAAATATCCATGTGCAATATTTCACAGGGATAAGAAGGAATCGGAGTTGCCTGAAGCTTAGGTATCGGCGGATTCCGATCATATTTGTTAGCCTTGCATATTTCACAATTCCTCGTATACCTTCCTACAAGACTGTTCATCCTAGGGAAATAGTATTTTTCCAAGAGCTGTAGTTTATTCTCGTCCTTATTCCTATGTGCCCTTCTGTGCTCCTCTTCTATCAAGGAACAGACCCTATTTGGACAAGTTACATCTTCTACAAATCTCTGAGTGATCCGTAGCTTATAATGTGAAAAGTGTTCCAAATAAACCTCCTGTAATAGCCACAAATACTGTTCAGGAATTTTAATCCCATTTAAGACATCAGGTCTAAGTTTTCCCCTCAGGATTCGTGTAAGATTTTCCCTGCTAATTTCCTCCAAAGATATGATATGTCGGTTGTAGCCAGGATGAGGATTAATATGTGTAATCATATCTGATTGGAATTGTCGTATTATAATCTGATTACGAAAAACGTTAATAGGAGCTTCGACATGTGGAATCAAATCTGTGCCATCTTGTTCGGCACTGTGTACGGTTCCCTCGCTAGCTGTTATAGTAGCTGAGTCTCCGTTCCCTATCGTACCCTCACTAGCTGTTATGGTATCTGAGTCCTCACTTCCTACCCTACCTTCACTTGCAGTGTCAGTGGAGGACTCATCCGCAAGATGGACACATAAATCTGTAGATGCAGTTCTCGAAGTCTGCTCAGCTTTCACTGAGTCGGTTGAGTCTGCTTTTAAGCGAGATAAGGCGTCGGCTACTACATTGGATTTCCCTGGTTTGTATACAAGTTCGAAGTTATATTCCTCTATCCTAGCCTTCCACCTTTTCAATTTCGCATTATAATTCCTGTTGCTCATGGCAAACGTCAGAGGTTGATGATCGGTAAAAATGCGTATTTTCTTAGCTCCATACAGATAGGAGCGAAGATTGTCCAATGCCCAAACTATGGCGAGCATCTCTTTCTCGTTCGTGGCATATGCCTCTTCTGTTTTGTTCAAAGAGCGAGAAATAAAGGTTATTGGTTTGTCCTTTCCCATTTCCCCTTGAGACAATACTGCACCTAAAGCACTGTTAGAAGCGTCTGTCGTAAGATTAAATGGTTTGTCAAAGTCCGGGAAGGCTAATACTTCCGACGACGTGAGCAACTCCTTAAGCTCGTTAAATGCTTGTAGCTCTTCCTCCCCGAGAATAATTCTAACTTTCTTCGATTGATTAGCCTTGACTTGTGCCATCTCGCCACGAGTGAGAGTGGTTAAAGGTTTAGCTACTTTGGCAAAGTCTTTAATGAACCTCCTATAATAGGATGTTAATCCCAGAAAACTTTTGAGCTCTTTCAGGGTCTGGGGTGGTACAATGTCAAGGATTGCCCTCACCTTCTTCCTATCAGGCAGTATACCATCCTTAGTAACCACGTAACCAAGGAATTCGACCTCGGTTTTCATAAAAGCAGTTTTCTCTAAATTAACCCTAAGGTGAGCGTCTCTTAGACGCTGAAATACTTTCCTAAGGTTCCCCAGGTGTTCCTCAATATTACCCCCGTATACTATTATGTCGTCTATATAGACATAACATATTTTCCCTATACAACCTCGCAGGACGTCATCGACCATACGCTGAAATATAGCAGGCGCATTCCGTAGGCCGAACGGTAGCCTCAAAAACTCATACTTCCCATTCATTGTTGAAAAGGCTGTCTTTGGAATATCCCTTGGATTCATTGAAATCTGATGAAACCCCGAAGTGAGGTCAAGGGTTGTAAAATATTTCGCCTTGCCAAGGCTCGCCAAAGTTGAATTTATGTCGGGAATTGGATATGTGTCAGGTATGGTGACGGCATTCAGTCTTTTGAAATCCACCACCATCCGATATTGTTTCTCTCCATTTGGTTTAGGTTTCTTTGGGACCACCCAAATGGGAGAATTATAAGGACTTCTTGACGGCCGTATTACATTATTATTCAGAAGTTCTTCTATTTGTCTGTCTACTTCAGCACGCATACAAGCTGGATAAGGATAACTCTTTGAGTATATTGGCTCATCAGTGGTACACCGTATCTCTGCCCTAATAGATGTTGCTGCCAATTCGTTATTTATTGGTCCAAATATGTCACTAAACTCGGCTATTAGGTCACTCAATGTAGTGCATGATGGAAGTACGTTAATTTCGTTCAATGTCTGAATTCTAAGTGGTATACTGATCCCTGGCGAGATTGTCAGTGTATTATTTTTGTGGTCTATTATAGCTTGAAGCTCACGTAGAGTATCGTCGCCGATTATACCATTGAAAGATGTGAATCCCGGTAGTACATAGAATGTAATTGTCGTATCGTTACCAAATGGTGCAAAGAATTTCCCCTTTACCTTCTCACTAATTTGTATTCTCCCTGAGGCAGTACGAACATAAAATGGTTTATCTAATTTCTTTGAACTGGGGCATAAGGCTGGCTCAACAAAGTTTTTTGTAGCCCCTGTGTCTATTAAAAATTTTATTATTGAGCCATCCTTTAATTCATTGCTTACGTATGGTAAGCCGGAAAGGCACGAGTCCGAAAATTTATTTTGTCGTCGGCCGGTTCGCCCTCATTGTCCTCTTGTGTCATGTTAAAAATTCTCTGTTGTTTAAAC